ACGAATTGACCATAAATGTAAAACTACTGCAGGGTTTTGAGAGGGGAGTAACATGGTCAGATCTGTGCTATAGGAAGATCAATTTGGTGGCAGAAACTGGGAAGGGCTGGAAAGAGGAGGGGTTGGAGACTAGATGGGTGGGCTCGAGGGAGGAAGGAAGGGGGAACTAGGGAGAAAAGCAGTCCCCAGATCAGCCAGGGTACATGGTGGGGAGCCAGGTACAGGGCTGTACCGGAATGTGACCTGCGGCGGGGCCTGTGGCACTCACTGGAGAAGTGGGATGGGGTGGGTAAGGGGGTGACAGAGAAAAAGCCTGTGCTCCTCAGCCCCTCAATGTCCCAGAGTGGTAAAATTAAACCCTCTCTAGATATGCCAATGCGAGTAGGTTTTCAGGCAACAAGAGGATTGTAAATGCAAAACAATGCCAATTACAGCAGCATTACCCCAGATTATAAAGCTTCTAAGAAGCAGCTCACACCTCCAGGCGTGCTGTGCCTGGAAATTTCCAGGGGAGGCTTGGGATCTAAACATCCAGGCTGCCTGAGGCCAGGCCCCACAGTGGGTGTGGGCAGCTGGGCAGGCCTGGCCTCGTCACTCCTACTGACCTGCCTTCATTTCCCCAAGGAAATAGACCACTGACGGGCAAGAGGACACCCCCAGGTCCCCACAATTCTGAGCAATATTCTTAAGGAAATTTGTCCCTTCATGGGCCCCCCAGCCAGGGGGGCACAGAGTCCCTCCATGGCTCTTTCTGCCTCCCCCCCGCTGCCCTGTGCCTGCACACAGTTGGAACCAGCCCAGCGCTGCCCCTTCTGTGCTACATGACCTTTAGCCAGTCAGCTTTCCTGAATCGCAGTCTCTGCTTTGGTAAAATGCGGAGACAAGCCCGCCCCCCCCCCCCACACACACTTCGCAGTGTGTTTTCAGGATTAAATGAGATCTTGTAGATAAAGAGTCTGAACAACAGAAACCAGTGCAACCTCCATGCACGACGATTTGGCAGTGTCCGTTAAAATAGTAAATGTCCACGCCCCGGGCCCCAGCGATTTCTTCTCGCCATTTCCTGCAGAGAAAGTTTTGCAGATGCGTCCAAGGGTGTTCCCTGCAGCACCTTCTGTGAGGTTAGAAAATCATAAACAACTGAAAGGGGCATTAACAGGGGCCTGATTAAATTAGGATCCATCAGTCCTGTGGAATCCTTTGCTGTAATTAAAGAGTCTGGCAGTTCCTGTGTGCTGTCACTGGCAGATCCCCACCACGTGGGACTGCATGAACAAAGCAAGAGCAAATAACACCTACAGATGATTCCATTTAAGCTTTTCAGAACCCCACACAAACACTAGATATTTTATGTTTGTCTATGTGCATATATGTATGTCGATGCAATAAGAACAGCCCGGAAGAAAATATGCCCCAATGACCCAGGGTTGCCTCTGGGGAGGGGATTGGGATGGAGGCTGGGAGGTGGCAGGAACATCAAAGAGAATTTCGCTTTGCTGTAGTGTCTACGTGTTTTACTGCAGTACATGCCTGTGTCCCCTGCAGAGATACACACATACAAAACACACGCCAACACCAAGTGCAGGGAATAGTAACGGTTAGCCTGACCCACGTGCCATCAAGCCTCAGAAGCCACAATTCTGACTGCATGTCAAGGAAGGCACCTAGGAAGGAAGGTGTCTCAGTGCCTCCTGCCACTGTCTGCAGCTCTTAAGAGTCTGGATTCAGGTCTGGCGAAGCCCGTCAGGTGGACAAATGACATACCCCGGCGTGCGGGAGGGATACACTCTGTTAGCCTGGCTGGGCCAAGGCCCCAGCCCGCCTCTCCTGGCTGAGCGTTCTGCCAAGAAAACTCTAGAACTACATAAAAATCCATCCTGGAAATCCGAGAGCCATCCTTAGAACGGAGCGTAGCCTTTCAATTAGAATGGGGAAAAAAGGCAGATTTGCCTGTAACTTGATTTCAGGTGAGTGCGGCCCGGTGGCCAAAATGCAACGACTGCGTCTGGCCGTGGCCCCCACGCCAAGGTCCTGCCTTGTGCTGTGAAGGGGACCCCAGCCCCACCAAGGTTTCCAGTGTAACCAGCACGTGTTCCCATGGAAACTCTGCTTTGCAGAATCCTTTGGAAATTGTTTCCGAGGGGGGGAACCGCTTCCCACACCCGCTTTGCATTCCTGGGTTTGGTTTCCAGGGATGATTTTCTCCAAGTGCTGAGAGGGGCAGGAGCAGGAGGGAGGGCTGGAGGCTGAAACCTGCCCGAAGGGGCAGAATGGCCATTTCTAAGCCACTACCCTGGAGAGGCCAGTGGAGGCTGAGGGTGTCAGCAGTGGGTGAGATGCTTCAGGTGCCCAGAGGCCTGGAAGAGGGTGGCAGGGGTGTGACCTAGAGATGGTAGGGAATCCCAGGTCAGAGCTAGGGCGGGTCAGGCAGAAAGAAACATAGGCCGAGACCGTGACATACATGTCCGCCCCCCTGTGGTGAGGCTGGGGCGGGGTCCGGACAGGAGGAAGCAGTGCCCGAGGCCTGGCCATCAGAGGCTGCCAGGGGCTTCTGCTACAAGCTCCAGGGCCAGGGGTCCACCCTCAGGATGGCTGCCATCCACCCTGCTGGTCTAAGGCTCCCCTTCACCTGGGTCTCACCTGTTGCTCCTCAGCCTGCAGGGGGCCAAAGAAGGGGGTCCCCACCTCCAGGGAGGCCTGCCCCTCATTTAGCAGATTCCCTCCGCACTGCCCAGTGGCAGCCTGTTTTTCCTGAAGGATGAGTGGAGAAGGAAATACACACCCGCTGAGCCTCTGCAGGGCAGGGAGTTCCCCATCTGTCCTCTCTGAGTAACACTCAGCGACTTGATTGTTGCTGAAGCCAAGGCTCAGGTGGACATGGCTTCTGGGAGGTGGAGCTGGGATTCGAGAGAGGCCAGCGGCCACCCAGCCCCAGATGACCCCCAAGGGCGGTTCCTCTCTCTTCTCTCCTCTGCCCACTCAGAGTCCATGCAAACCTGCCCTCCAGGAGCTCAGTTCGAGTCCCCTCTGCCCCCTCCTCCTCCCTCGTGGCCACCTGCACCCCCTGCAGTCGTCTGCCACTCCTCACCCCTGCACCAGCCCATCTCCGCAGGCTCCCAGTCCCGCGGGCTGGGGAAGGAGGGGTGCTTAGTCTTCTTGGCTCCGTACTGGGCGTCCCAGAACGTTCTCCTCTGGGGGTCACCCCTTCCACCTTGACCCTCCTCCCTGCCTCTCTCCTTGCTCGCTGAAGACCTAAGCGCCTGCCCAGCCTTGCCCTGAACTGAGCTCGGTCACCACACTTGACAACGTCTGTGTCCACAAGAGGGGCGATGAGTTGGTCCCTGAGGGCCTCACAGGCCGCAGGGAAGAGTTGGGATTTTGTTCCAAGTGAGGTGGGAACAGTGGGGGGTTTTGAACACGGGGAGGGCCATGGTCCTGTGTAGGTCTCATCAGGATCCTTTGCTTCGTGGAGAGGGGACTGCAGGGGGCTGGGCCAGGGCGGGGGGCGCAGTCTCTCCAGGCTCCCTGCACTACCCCAGGGGCCAACTGGAAAAGGCTGATTCCCAGCCTGAGGGTCCGGGGCCAGGGGCTGAGGACGCTCTGGGGCCCAGCGAGGCGGCCTCGTCCTGTCTTGCTGCCTTTGGTCTTCCCTGGAGAGGCTCCGCTGCATGCTGAGCGGCCTGCCTCCCTCACCCGGCCCCCAGCCCCGGCCTCTGCCTCAGGCTGACAGAGTCGGGGGCCTGGAAGGCAGCTTCGCCTCCCTAAACAGGCTAGGAGTTCGTTAAACTGCCTTCTGGCGAGCGGGGGCCTCTCCCCGCAGCCCCGTGTTCCCGCTCAGAGCCCTTGCCGTGTGCTCCAAGGCCAGGCTCAGAACCAAGCTGAGATGCTGTGAACCGTGCCACAGGCCCGAGGGGGCCACACACAGCCCTAGCGGAGGGGCTGGGGCTTCTTCCTGACGTCAGCCCAGGCCCACCCTGCCGGCCCCAGCCCTTACCCTGCGGGGGGGCCGACCTGCAGGGCTGAAGGTGCTACCCACAAACCAGCCGGGGGTCTGGCCAGGGCCTGCGCCTCGGGCCACCACCCTCCTGGGCACATTGGGGTTTGTGTGAGAGGGCACCTGAGGGACCTCTGGGGACAGCACTGGGTGTGTGTGGAGGGAGGACTGGCCTGCCCATTGCATGAATGACCAAATAGTGGAAAGCAAGGGAGGGATGGGGGACAGCAGGGGAGGGAGGGCTCAGAGCCTGACAGCCTGGGTGAGCCCACCCTTAGCCCTGGTCTGCCTGTGAGGTAGGTTACAGTGTGGGGCTGCCGTGAGGTGAAATGAGGGGTAACGTGAACACTCGAGCAGCAGAAATGGCTCAGGGTCAGACACTGAGGGGCCATGGGGCCTGAGCTTCTGCAGCACAAAGGGACCCCTCCGCCCATCCCAGGGGAAGGCCCAAGAACAGAGCTATGCAGCTGGACCACGACGGAGAGGGCTGGCCTCCAGGCAGCTGGGACCGGCCCGGGGCAAAGAGGGAAGGGGCCGGGCTGGCCTTGATCCCCAGGGGCCGGGGCTGGGGCATAAGGCAGACAAAGACAGAGGAGGTGGGAGGGGTCGAGATAGGCCAGGTGGAGGGGCTCTGGGGAACTGGGCTGTAGGTAGACCAGGAGCAGCGAGGCCCTGAGGCTGGGGAAGGTTTGAGGTGGTGGTGAGCAGGGCGTGGTGAGGAAGCAGTTGGCACACAGAGCGTAGGCGACCAGGCTGATGGGAAACAACCTTGGGGTCCTTGCTGGGGGAGGCAGAGAGCTCCCTGCATGTGCCCGGACCCTTGCAGTCCCAGGCCCCCACTGAGCCGCCTCCCCGGCCTCCAGCTCTGTCCCTGAGCCCAGCCCAGCCTCTGCATGGTTCATTCTTGCCCATGCCCCATACCCCCCACGCCATCCCCCTGATCTACTTTGTGTGGTCACCTTGTGCCTTTGGCCTAGTTGGGCGGGGGGCGGGGAGACGGGGGCCATTTGCCTAGTTGCTCCTTTATTCATCTACGCTGGGACCCCTGTGCACACAGTACTGACAAGGGTCCCTGGCGGGAACCTCCTGGTGGTTCAGGCTGGTGCAAGAAGGCCCGTGTGTCTAGAGAGGGTAAGAAGGGCTCTGGGTGGTGTTCAGGAGAGCCCTTGGGGAGGGAGGGAGGGCCCGCCTGGCAGAGGGAACAGCTTGGGCAAAGGTCCGGAGATGTGGCACACTCGGCGGGTGTGGCCGGGCTGCAGAATGGCGGTGGGGGTGGGGCCAGCCAAGGCAAGAGGGCACCCTCTTAAATGTGGTGGTGAGGTGATGGGGCACCCCTGGGGCCTCGCTCCTGGTACAGATCAAGTCCTTTGGAGGGAGAGGCTGCCCCAGGGCCTCTGATCCAGGGCAAGACCCATGGGCAGGCAGAGCTTGTCCTAGAGATTTTCATAGACCAGGTTAAATTCACCGTCACCCTCAAATCTATGTTGTTTCTCCTGGAAAAAAATAAAAAGAAAAAAAGAAATAAAAAACAGTAGGGAGGGAAAAGAAAAAACTTGCACAACTTTAGTTTTAGGCAGAGGCAGACAAACAGATGGCTTCCCAAGTAGCTTTGACAGGGAGACCTGTCCTTGCGCCCAAGCCCACCGCACCAGCCTCTTCTCCCATCATTCCAGCCCATGCCTGCTCTCTGCCCTCCAACTCCACAGACCTCTTCTTTCCTGCCTTGGGCCTCCCCAGGTGCTCTTCCCTCTGCCTGGCGTGCTCTCTCCATCCTACCTGTTCCCTGGCTACCTCCTCCTCACTCTGCACCCCCGAGAGCCCCCTTCCCAGCTCTGGCCTAGTCCCTCCCCAGAGCCCACCCTTCACAGGGGGCTACAAATGTCTCTGTGTGTTTGTAAGATCAGTGACCCTGTTCCTGCAGACCCAAGGATCCTGGAGGGCCGGAACATTTCTAGTCATCCTGCCAGGACTTCAGGGCCTGGCACATGGTGGGCACTGCCTGGGACGGCCCAGACATCCTTGGGGAAGCCCTGCCTCCAATCAGAGCCTAGTTCAGGGATGAGTATACAAAGGGCTTTGAGAATAGGAGATTCAACAAACAGAGTCAGCCTGGGCCAGCGGGGCCAAGCACTTGCTCCCCTCACTTCCCGATGGCTTTTCCAAGGTGCCTACCCACAGCCCTTGAGCTCCTGAATCCAACCTTGCACTTGATGCTGTCCAAAGCTCTGGTGTAGATGCTACTTAACTTGGAATTCATTTGAATTCAGGGGCAGTTGATTTTGCAGTAAAGTGTCACTCATCCACTTTACAGATGAGCAGACTGAGGTTTAAGAGAGAATCATGATCGGGACTTCCCTGGTGGCTCAGCGGTTAAGAACCCGCCGGCCAGTGCAGGGGACACGGGTGTGAGCCCTGGTCCGGGAAGATCCCACATGCTGCGGAGTAACTAAGCCCATGAGCCACAAGTACTGAAGCCCGCGCTCCTGGAGCCCGTGCTCCGCAACAGGAGAAGCCACCGCAGTGAGAAGCCTGCGCACCGCAATGAAGAGTAGCCCCCGCTCGCTGCAACTAGAGAAAGCCCGCGTGCAGCAACGAAGACCCATCGCATCCATAAATAAATAAATAAATGTATTTTAAAAAAAGAGAGAGAGAGAGAGAGAGAGAATCATGATCAAGTGGTATGCCTTAGGCCCCATCGTGATAATAACGAAGCCCTGTCCAGACCCTCCCAGGCTAGCATCAGTGTAGACTCCAGCTCCCGGCTTTAGCCACCTTCAGCCTGGGGAGAGCTAGAAGCCAAACACCCCTGCTTTACTGGCCAGTGTAGACACTATACCGTGCCCAGTGGTAGTTACGATTGCTCATCTTGCACGGCGCCTACGGGGTCCCAGTACGACATTTGATCCTCATGGCAAATCTAGGAGGTGAGTGCTGTTAGGCTCCTCAGTTTACAGCCGAGGAGAAGCAGGCACAGAGGTTAGCCCCTTGGCCAGGGCTGCACAGCTGGTAAGGGGTGGAGCAGCGGTTCAAATCTACCAGACCTCCTAACCACTAGGCCAGCTGCCTCGGAGAGAGGGCTCTGATTCAGCCGCAGGTGGCTCACTCCTCTGGTCCTATTTACCCATTTCCCAGATGAGGAACAGGACAAATGGAGTAAGACGAGGCTCGCTGCCCAGCCCCTGCATACCTGGGAGAGCAGGTCCTGGTTGGAGGGCGGGCTGCTGGCCTCACTCTGGATGCAGTCGTAGACCTCGGTCTCTCGGCGCTGCAGGTCCTGCAAGAGACGTGGGAGGGTCAGAGAAAGGTGAACAGAGGGGCAGGGCCCCGGCCGCAGCGGCCTGCTATACCTCCCTGCCGCCCGAGGGAGCCCAGGGGCCGGGCAGACCTGTGAGGGGACACCCACCACCCCCAGCCTCGCCACTCGCAGTCACACGGCTGCACCTGTGCACCTGTCGTTCCCTCTCGGAGCCATCTTACCCCTTCCCCGCTGGTACAGTGCCACTCCTCTCTGTGCCCCTTGCCAGCCCCTCACATCACCTCAAGGCTCTAGCAGAGCCTGTGGTCAGCCCGGTGGGCTCTCCAGGCCCCCAGGTAGCTGGCAAGAGGAAGGCCCCAGGCCCCCTCCCACCGTCCCTGCCTGTCCTTAGGTCCTTTGGTGCAGCCAGCAGCCCCCAGATGTGACTCCCATGGCCAAGGCTTCAATAGGATGCTCTCCTGTCATCCCCCCCTCACTCCCCTGGGCCAAAGCCCTGTCCCTGTGAGGGTCCCACCCACGCATCCACCCCTGTAGGTCTCCCTTCACCTCTCACCCCAGCCTGTGCTCACAGATGACCTAGGTACCCACTGGAGTCACACTCCTTTCCCACAGCTGTGCTTGGTTTGTTGCTGGGTCACTGTAGCTGTGGTTGGCACACTTGGAGAACAGCACCAAATGAGCTATGATGAGGGGGCTCCTCGCTCAGCTAGATGTGTGTCTTAGGGCCAAACTCACTCTTGGCCCAGCTATGAACAGCCTGACCAGAGGCCTCAGGATGGTAGAAAGAGACGGAGCTTTGAAATCAGACAAGCCTAGGTTCAACTCTCAGCTCTGACACCTGCCAGCTATGGGCAACCCCGGGACCTCCCTGTGCCTCAGTTTCCTCATCTGTAAAATGGGAATAATTGTATCTCTCTTTCAGGCTCAACGGATGATTAAATGAGATGTTGTACATAAAGGGCCCAACAGAGGGTCTGGCGAATCACAGGTGCTTAATAACCATTGAATGGTCATCAAGGGAGGCTTGATGCCTCCCTCCCCTCTCTGCGGTCACAGCCTGGACCCTTCCTCAGACCCTGATGGGCACCGGGGTCCCAGGCAAGGGGCAGATGCTGCTCCTTGGGGGATGTCGGAGCAGAGCTACTAACAGCCTAAGCAAGAGGCAGGAACCTTTCCTTCCCACGTGTGCATGTCATATGGGTGCCGGCTGCTTGCCAAGGAGGTGGTTTCCCTGGCAACAGGCAAGCAGGGGTTGCCGAGGCAGGCTGGAGAGACAGGTGGTGCTCTGAGGCAAGAGAAGGGAGGGGAGGTGGGGTGGGGGGAAGGAGGCTCCAAGAGGCAGCGGGGCATGAAAACCTGTGTAATAAACCATTTGGCACTTGGGAGACCCTCACTTCAAGGGCATCACACACAGGGATGGCAAGGCTGCCCTAGGGACCTCTGCATCAGAAAGAGGGAGGGTCAGGACTTCTGTGGTGGCACAGTGGTTAACAATCCACCTGCCAGTACGGGGGACACGGGTTCGAGCCCTGGTCCAGGAAGATCCCACATGCTGCAGAGCAGCTAAGCCCATGCGCCACAATTACTGAGCCTGCGCTCTAGAGCCCACGAGCCACAACTACTGAGCCCGCGAGCCACAACTACTGAGCCCACGTGCCACAACTACTGAGGCCCGTGCGCCTAGAGCCTGTGCTCCGCAACAAGAGAAGCCACCGCAATGAGAAGCCTGCGCACCACAACCAAGAGTAGCCCCTGCTCGCCGCAACTAGAGAAAAAGCCCGCATGCAGCAACGAAGACCCAACGCAGCCAAAAATAAATAAAAATTTAAATTAAAAAAAAAGAAAAAGAAAGAGGGAGTGTCTTGGAAGGGGTGCTTCCAACCTGCCTCTGGGTAAGGAAGGGGGCAAGGCTGTCCCAGGGAGGAGCCCAAATTCTGGTGAAAGGCATTTTCCAAGGCCTGCTCTGGCCTGTTGGGCTTTCATGCCTGCCCAGAGCACCAACCACTGCCGGCAAGCCTGGCACACGGGATGGGAATCTGCTCCTCAGCAGCCCTGGGCCTCCACCGCCTGTCCGCCCAGACCTGGATCCACAGATCTGACAGCGCCCCAAGCTGGATGCTTCTGGTCGCAGAGTGAAGGGAGAAAAAGGGCCTCCTGGCTGACATGTCAGCAGGAGAGCAGATCTCGGGTCCCACAGATGGTTCCCTTCTCCCTCGTGTCCAGTCCACGCGGGCTGCCCACCACGCATTAGCCCAGAGAGGCCCAGAGATGTCTCAGGTCACGCAGCCCCTCCCGCCATTCGCTCCGTGTGCTCCCACTGGCCTGGGCACACAGCTAAGTGATTTCCCAGCCAGAGAAGAGCGTCCTGACCTGGGACCCCACAGGCCTGGGCCCCACACTGCGGGGGGGGGGTCATGCTGTGGGGGGAGCAGCTGCCGGGCTGAGGGCGGGGAGGGTGGGGGAGGCTGCAGAAGTTGCTGCAGATTAGCAGCTCCTGAGTGAAGCCTCTGACAAGCCCTGACCTGCTGGGCTGCGTTTGCATGCAGGGAGTGACCTGCATCACTAGGCTGTGAAATGCAGGGCAGCCTTGTCAACAGGATACCTCCTTGGCCTTGCTTGCTGGTGATGGGGACTGCCTCCCACAGGGTACGCCTGCGGGGAGAAGGCCAGGCCTCTGAATGGGCTGGGCTGGGCTGGGCTGTACTGGGATACGGGTCTGGGATCCAGGCCCTCTGAGCCCTTTGCCTCCTGCTGCCCAGTATGGGCAGTGATGCTGGGCTCAGTGGTCACCAGCCCTGGCAGAGGCGTGAAGCCCGTGCCAAGGCCTTTGTCCAGGTGGGCTGAGGCCAGAGCTGAAGTCAGCTGCCCTGGGCCAGGACCTAATCTGAGGGTCCTGGACATTGGTCCCCCTGTAATACCCACCCCTGTCACCAAGGAAACACAAGAGCTGTGGTCTCACGGACACCTGCATGTTGAGGTTTGCATGATGCCCTCTGCGGGGCAGACGGCTGAGACCTGGGGGCCTTGTTCAGCAAGGAGTGGTACTCAGGAGAGACGGAGCACCTCTGCTCTAGGTCAAGATCCTGGCGTGTGTGAAGTAAACGGCCCACAGCAGTGACAGGAGTCTGGTGAAGCAGGGCTGGGTTTGGCCTCCAATGAAGGCCTCTCGTGCCAGGCTGAGGAGCTGGCAATGGGGAGCCCCTGGAGGTTTCTGAGTGGGAAGCGACAGCATCAGTGGTGTGTCGGAAAGGCCCCTCCTGCTGCCATGAGGCGTGGGAGGGCTGGAGGCTGACAGCAAGAATGAGGCGCTGGGCCAGGCAGAGGCTGGAACACAGCTGGGTGGGGGGGCGGTGTCCAGATGCTTCTGGGGAGCGTGAAACTACAATGCTGATGCCCCACATTCGCCATGGAGCACCTACTCTGTACCCAGCACCTAGCCCCAGGGAACCCCAGCCAGCTGGGAGCTAAGAACAGGCCTCCACTCAGCTGATCGCTGAGCACCTACTACGTGCCAGGCACTGGGCTGGTGCGGGGGAGGGCGCCAGGCAGACCACGATCAGAAAGAAATCGGTGGCCATAAGGGCCACGGAGAGACCCAGAGAAGGAAGATGGGGATGTTGGCTCATGGAGAGGGTGGGGAGGTCAGAAAGGCCTCCCTACAAAGGTGCCCTCTGAGCAGAGAGCTGGGGAGTGAGACAGCAGCCCCTGGACAGCTCCAGAAAGGACACTGTGGAGGGGAGGGTGCAGCCAACACCAAGGCCCCCCTGCGGGGTGGGCATGGGGGGCAAGCCTGGTGCATCTGGAGAACATCAAGGAGGCCAGTGTGCCTGGAGCGAGTGAGTGAGGGGAGAGACAGTGGGAGGGCCTGTGGGCAGAGCTCTCAGAGACCACTGTCAGGGCTCTGGTGTTGACTCTGAGTGAGACAGAATCTATCTCACTAGACGGCCGAGGTGGGCACGAGAACGTGATCCGCAGACCTCCAACTCCAGGGATCAGCATCGACCCGGGGCCCCAGCTGCTGGGCTCTGAAACCCATCATTACATGTGCACAGAGGGCCCCCGCCGCCACCGTGGGCTACCTCCAGCCAATGGCTGAGCTCAGCAGGGATGCCGTCACAGCCTCCCGCCCTGGGAGACCTGGGACTCCTCTGACTGGGCTCCCCATGGCCTGCTGAAGCTTCCCTAGATGGTGCGGTGGTCGATGCATCCTCTCTGCCTTCCTTCACCCTCTCCTTTACCCAGGGTGAGATCTGCAAGAGTCTGATGACTCTCCCAGTCTTCTCCATTTTCTCTCACAGGTGGTTTCCCTAATAAAACTATCACACATTTACCCCCGTCTTGGTGTCTGCTTCTCGGGGGACCTAGACTCACCAAGGGCTCTGAGCAGAGCGGGATGTGATCTATGTTTGGGTGGGATCACTTTGCTGCTCCTGGGTGGAGCACAGACTGTGGGGCAAGGATAATAACGGGCCAGCTGATTAGAAACCAATTGCAGGACTCCAGGCACGAAATGGTGGTGGCTCCCACCAGCGTCAGCCCTGGAGGGGTGAGAAGGGTCAGATTCTGGATATGTTCGCAATAAGATGTGCTGATGGATCCGATGTGAGCAGTGATGGAAGGAGAGAAGGAAAGGGCAATTTCAAAATGTTTAGCCTGAGCATCAGGGAGAATGGAGCAACCATTCACTGCATGAGGAGGACTGTGGGAAGAGGTACTTCGATGGGTAAAGAACTGGAGATTGGTCTGAGACAGAAGCCGATACGTGGTCCAAATGCAGTTACTTCTGGTGTTCAGAGGAGGTGCCTGGGCTGGACGTATAAATTTGGGAGTTGTCAGAGTGTAGAGGGTCTCAAAACCTTGAGGCTGCTTCACTCCCAAGGAGGGGAGTGAAGATCAAAGAGAAAGGGCCCCAGGCCTGGACTCTAATGTTTAGAGGTCAGGATTTCTCTGGTTCCTAAGAAGGAACCAGGGATGCAGGCTGAGGAGGCATGGTAGTGAGTCAGAGGGGCATTAGGAGAGAGTGGAATGTTCTGGAAGCAAGTAAAGAAAGTGTGTCTAGGAGGAGGGAGAGCTCGCTGGTGCCACATGCTGCTGCTCATCAGGAAAGAGGAAGACTGGGAACTGACCACGGGGTTTGACAATGTGGAGGTCAACGGTGACCTTGAGAAGGAAGGCTTTGGGGGGCAGAAAGAAGAGGTGTGCTGAAAGCCTGACTGAGTGGGTCGGAAAGGAGAGACAGAAACTGAAGACAGGGAATTTTGACAGATCTCTTATAAGGAATCGTCGAGAAAGGACAGGGTCACTGGAGGTGGCTGTGAGCTCAAGATAAGGAATTTAAAATGGAAGAAATCGTAGTATGTTTGCAAACTGTAAATGTAATACTGTATCATTAGCCCTATATTAAAGGTTATGAAACCAAGACTCAGAAAGTTTAAGTAGCAGAACCCGTGAGCAAAAGAACTAGGCCTTGAACCCCAGCCTGTCTGGCTTACTCCAAATCCATGCTCCTTAATAGGTCAACTTGGGCTTCCCTGGTGGCGCAGTGGTTGAGAGTCCGCCTGCCGATGCAGGGAACACGGGTTCGTGCCCCGGTCTGGGAGGATCCCACATGCCGCGGAGCGACTAGGCCTGTGAGCCATGGCCGCTGAGCCTGCATGTCCGGAGCCTGTGCTCCGCAACGGGAGAGGCCACAACAGGGAGAGGCCCGCAAACCACAAAAAAAAAAAAAAAAAAAAAAAAGGTCAACTTTTCACACACAAAAAAACTGGAGTAGTACAGCTTTTTTTTCCTGTCACAATATATCATGAACATTTTTCCACATGAATAAAAAGCAAAAATTGACATAATCAGAAGGAGAAATATACAATCTACAAGCAAATGGGCAGATTTTAACTCAATTCACTCAACATCTGATAGACAAAATAATCAATAAGGATATGGCATACTTTAGCAACACAATCAATAAACTTGACCTCACTGACACAGATAGAACACTCACTCAGCCATGCACAATGCAGACGAAATATAAGCCAACAATAAAGCAAGTCTCAAAAGACTTCGAAGGATTAAAATCCTACCGAATGTATTCTCTGATCACAGTGGAATTCGTGAGAAACAAAAAACAGAATGATAACTAAAAAACAAACGTTTGAAAATTAAGCAAAAGACTTTTAAATAACTCATGGGGCAAGTGGGAAATTTAAACTGAAAGACAACAAAACTATGACATATCAAAACTTGTGGGATACAACTAAAGCCATACTTAAAGGGAAGTTTATAACCTTAAGTGCATAAATTAGGAAAAAAGAAAGATTGAAAATCAGTGATCTAAGTATCCATCCAAAGAAAGTAGAGGAGAAGTATACAAAAATCCTTCCCTGGGCTTCCCTGTTGGCACAGTGGTTGAGAGTCTGCCTGCCGATGCAGGGGACATGGGTTTGTGCCCCGGTCCGGGAGGATCCCACATGCCGCGGAGCGGCTGGCCCGTGAGCCATGGCCGCTGAGCCTGCGCGTCCGGAGCCTGTGCTCCGCAACGGGAGAGGCCACAACAGTGAGAGGCCCGTGTATCACAAAAAAAAAAAAAAAAAAATCCTTCCCTGGATGTTGTCCACTGTCACCGCTCTTGTTCACCATCATTGTCTGAGGCAGTGCGATAAAACAAACAAAAAAAGAAATAAAAGGTATGAAGATTAAAAAGGAAGAAATGAAACTTCCACTATTCATAGATGACATGACTAGGTTCATAGAAAATCCAAAGGAACTTACAGAGAAACTATTAGAATTAATTAGTGAATTCATCAAGGTTACTCTCTATATAAAGTCAATATACAAAAATCAATCGTATTTCTACATACCAGCAATAGACAATTAGAAAATAAAATTAGGGACTCCCCTGGTGGTCCAGTGGGTAAGACTCCGCACTCCTAATGCAGGGGACCCAGGTTCGATCCCTAGCCGGGGAACTAGATCTCACATGCATGCCGCAACTAATAAGCCCTCATGCCGCAACTAAGGAGTCCGCATGCCGCAAATAAGAAGCCTGCATGCTGCAACTAAGACCCAGCACAGCCAAAAATAAATGAATAAAATTTAAAAAAAAAGAAAATTAAAATGGGGACAACACCTGTACCCTGAAGCCCTATTATGAGTATTAATGACATAACAGGTATAAAATCCTACAACAGTACCTGGCACGTAGTAGGTACTCAACAAATGACTTCGTGACATCATCATCACTCTTGTTAGCGTATTCTTCTCTGCCCAGGTCCAACCCCAGCAGCTAGGGACTGGTCTCAAGGGCTAGCAGAGTCTGCGGCCTCCCTTCACATCTCCTTTCCAGCCCTAAAACCTTTTGAAGCCACCCTGCAACCTGGCAGGGCCTTTGAGCCTCTTCCTCACACTCCAGAGAAGTCTAAACACGGGCAAGAAAGATGTTCCATGCAAAAGTGAGTCTCTTCCATTAAAAGTAATCTTGGAGAAGGATATTTATTCATGTGAAAAGATGTTCATGAGATATTGTAACATGAACAAAACTAGCTGTACTACTCCAATTTTTTTTAAAAAAAGTATGTGTGAGTGTGTGTATGGGTCTCTTTGTATGTGTTTGCAGAAAAGACTGGAAGGTACAGAGGTCAATGAGACTAGTGTTTATACTGGAAGAAGATAGGCTTGGGATGATGGTTATTTTCCTCTTCTTGATATATATAGAAAGATGTGTGTGTGTGTGTGTGTGTGTGTGTGTGTGTGTGTGTGTGTGTACGGAGAGAGAGAAATGTTTTCATTTAACAGTTGACACCAGAATTCCTCCTAGGGAAAATACCATGATGAGTTGCTGGGAGAGAAGAGAGAATATGGGGAAGTCTGAGGCCACATGGGAAGCAGTGGCTGCTGGAAATTCCCTGGGGTGGAAGGGCTGAAGGCCCCATGAGAGCTGGCCGTGTTACGTTCTGTTTGGGGTTATGGGCGCTGCCCTGTAGGAATGCTGTCTTTGCCTCGTCCCCCTCTGCCTCATCCTCAGTAAACCGGACCATATTCTGAACACCCTCTGCGCGGGGTTTTATGGACATCGAGGAAGGACCTGAGTTTCATGTATGAGTCAGGGTGGTGGGGACAGGAACAGCTACAGCACATACAGGCAGAGTCCCGGAACATGCCCTGGGAGGACCTGCAGGACCCAGGCATGGCTGTGCACCTCCCAGGTGCTGAGTCAAGACCGCTACCTGGCGGCTGGAGGCCCCGTGGAGTTGAGACCCCAGCTGACACTGGGTGGCATTTATTCTTCACTTTCTCCACAATGAGCATATGTTATTTGTTCAACTAAAATAGATGTAACTGAAAAAAGAATGTCTGTCACCATCCCAGCCACCGGGCAGAGTGACCACGTGTTGACCAGATGGGCAAGCCAGGCTGGGGGAGCGAACAGCATCTCAGCCGTGTCTCTGCTTGACTGTAAGGACATAAAACAGTGTGTGTGTGTGTGTGTGTGTGTGTGTGTGTGTGTGCGCGCGCGGTGGGGAAGGGGGGTGTGAAGAATTGAAAATCATTGGTGTGTTCAGGGCGTGGGACACTGCCTGACTCTTTCCTCTTTTTGTGATTCTTGTTGCTGTGGCTCCGATGCTTCTGTGCAATAAAAACAGGAAGGAGTTGGTGAGCGGGTCAACGTCACTTGGTCAGATGAAGGGACTTTCTTCATTCCTCACCAACTGTGCCCTCACTGGCCCTCATTCCAGAAGTGGAGGGGCACGCCAAGGAGGGGACCCCAGTGGCACCTCACACCTACACTCCTTCCAGGGCCCAGGGCCACACACTTGTAACCTCGGTTCACCTTCACAGAAATCCCTCCAGGCAGGAATTCTTGTCCCCAGTTTACAGGTGAGGAAGTAGAGGCTCACAGAGAGGTCACACAGCTGGTACACTGACCGAGCCAGGGAACCAGACCCCGAGCCAGGCCTCAGAGGGCGGAGGACTCACTGTGTAGATGGATTCGGGTGGAGGCTGCTCCCGGCTGCTGGCAGCGCTGGGGCCCGGGCACTTCTGGGCAGTGTGCTGCCGTGGAGGCTGCATCTGTCTCTGTGGGGAAAGGAGTCAGGGCTGGGGACCAGAGGCTCTCCTTCTTCCCACCCCCGACCAGACCCCACCAGAAGAAAGGATGGCAGGTTGTCATGAGGCCACTCAGAAGTGCATCACTCAGCACCTTCCATCCACCCTCTCCAGGGAAACGGGGCAAATACCTGCAAGACCTACATCAAACCACTTATCTGCCCGGGGACACCGGACACGATAAACACCCCGGCGAGGCAACTGCCCACCACCCAGCGCCTGGCTCTAGGTGCCACCCAGTGCCAGGCACAGTGCCAGCAGTGTGCCAGGGTCCCTGGCTGCAGCCGATTACTGTGGGTGTTGCTGAGTGAGCCAGCGCAGGCCAGACCAGGTGTCCAGTCCCTCTCTGCCCCTCACTGGCTCTGCGGCCTCACTCAAGCACTTACTGTCTCTGGACCTCAGTTTCTCCAGCCGTCACCCTCCTGTGCGAGATTGCTGCACAGGTCCAGGGAGGTGATGAGGGAGTCAAGCACTCTTGACACTCGTGGGCCACTTATGTGGCCCTTGGCCAACCACACACACTCTGGTTAGCCAGGTGGTGTGAAGAAGGGGACACCATCCCTGCCCTCCCGGAGCTTAAGACCCGGTGGGGAGACGGACAACGAACCAGCAGTTTTACCACGTGTGGTTCATGCGCTGACCGATGGGGACAGAGCCTCTGGCGCACGGGAGGGAAAAAAACGCCTCGCCTGGCAGGGAGGCTGAGAGGAAGGCTGTTTAAGGCTGAGAAGTTCGTTGGGAAGAGGGGGAAGAGAGGCAGAGGGAGCAGGTCTGGAAGAATTTAAAGACGGTCAGCGTGGCCCGAGAGGCGAACCTGCCCTGGTTGGGTCAGGACGGCCATGCCGGGCTTCGAGAAGAGGGTGGACGGTGGAAAACATCTGAGGGCTTTAACCAGGAGGCGCCAGGATCAGAAAGTGGTTTCAGAAAGCTCACGCTGGGTGCTGCGTGAAGCGCTAATGGTCGTGGAGGCCAGGGCAGTGGGCCTTCGGGAGGGTGAGGGCTCAGCTCCTTCCAAGTCAGAGGGAGGCTGTCCGGACACCCCCCTCATCTCAGGCACACCACACTGCCAACAGTGAAGCAACACAGCCTCATCTCGGGGCAGGACCTAATTAAAAACCCTAGCCGCCTGCCAATCCCCAGACCATTTACTTGGGATTAGCTCTCGAGAGCTACTTAACACTCAGGCAGAAGCCAGCGCCACCCCCAGTCGCAGCATAATAATGGCTCAGGAGTACATGGAGCCTCACTGGGTGCCAGGTGGGGATCTAAATGCATCACTTGCCTTATCTCCTGTGCCTCTCAACAAACCTGCAAGACCAGTCTTCATATCATCCCTGTTCCACCCATGAGGCTGTGAAGGCTCAGAGAGGGCTGACAACTTGCTCGAGGTCACAGAGCCAGAAGTGGCAGGGGCAGGATTGGAACCCAGGTCTGTGTGATTCACCAAGATGCTGATCTGACAGTACCTGGAGTTTTCACTCTCCTGTTTTGTTTGAAAGTGCAGGTCTCACAGAGAGATCGGTGCAGGCATCCGGGCAGCTCTTTACAGTTTACAAAGAACTCTGGGACTTATTGTCATTTAATTCTCATAGTAGCCTAAGGAGGTGGGCATGGACTTCCCACTTGCCAGAGGGGGAAACAGGTTTGTCCAGCTAGTCATTGACTGCCCTTGGATCAAACCCAGATGCCCTGTTCTCAAATCTAGTGCCCCTCCCCTGCACCACCTACTTCACTGCCAAGGCTGGCGGTGTGGGCTTATGGGCAGGGGATCTCCTGGACCCCATGGGGAGCAACACCCAGGCCTGGCCTCGTGGCATTCCTATTGAGGCTGGTGGGGCCGCCAGAGAGGTAAGTGCCACTGTGGGTTCGTGAGGAGTTCATGTCTACCAGGGGCTGGGGCAGACTTCTCAGGGCTTGCTTGTGCCCTGAACATAGGACAGGAGTCTGAGGATGTGTCCCAGGCCATGGAAACAGTGCAGTGTTATTACTGGGGTGGTGATGCTCCTTGGAGCCAGCCTTGCCCCATCTGGGTGCCCTGTCCCAGACCATCAGCATTTACCCTTCCAATTGTGATTTTCAAATGAATAAACCAATCGGCAGCTCAGGAAACCTGTAGAGCCTCTGTTTCCCCCTCTGTAAAATGGGAGCGATACCATCACCTTGCCCACCTCACAGCCTGGCCACCTCTGACTCATCCTTCAGGTCTCAGCTCTCATTTACTCCATCACTCCTTCCATAGCACTATGTGTCAGGGTCTCCCAGACACTGGGGACACCAAGTCCCTTCTTTCTGGGGCTTATGCTCTGGTGGAGGAGACGGTAATGACACAGAAGCAACGGTGTGGGGAGCAAAGCAAGAAGAACCAAGCGAGAAGCAGGGAGACCCACATTCTGGGCGAGGGGTGATGGAAGCCGGGACTGGGGGTTGGGGCAGGAGAGAAGGGGCTGGATCCTGGACAGACTGTCGGCAGGACTTGCCGAGGGATCAGCCGTAGGGGGAGGGAGGGGGCGGGCACAGCACCAAGCCTTCTGGCCTGAGCATCTGGGGGCCTGGTGCCATGTGCTGAGCTGGGGCCGACCTGGGGGGACTAAGGAGTGCTGTTCCTGACCAGGTGGGTGCAGACGCCCGTGGGTGCCCACACGGAGTGGACGTGATCTGGAGCTCGGGGTGGGGGGCTGGGGGGCTCTGGGCAGCCACATTGGGTGGGACTGTAATCCCGGGAGCAGAGTCGTCACGGAGGAGCGTAGACAGATGAGGAGATCTCTGAGGAAGGGGCCTGGGAGGTGCCAATGTTCAGAGGCCATGAAAATGTGGGTGACCCAGCACAGGGCCACCGGGGGATCCTAGGACCAAGGAAGGAGTGTGCCGTGGAGGAGGGAGACTGTGTCTGATGCCCTGCGAGGATGAGGACGGATCAGCATCGGAGGCTGCCCGCTCCGGGGAGCCAACCTTGACCCCAGGCTGAGTGTGAGCCCTCGAACCTGCTCTCAGGACAGGAATCATCTGTCTCTTCTGAGTCAGTGGCTCCGACTTCGATTCATTTATCAGATGTGCTGCTGGCGTCCTCCATGCCTCTTCCTCCTCGGCCCTGTCCTCCCGGCCCCCGTGGCTGGCTGCCGGGCCTGTCTTTGGCCGGGGCTCCCACTGCATGCTTTGTTTCTGTGCTCAGCTCATGGTTCAAACGCCGGCCATCCAGTTCTGGGGCAGCATCTACAGGGGCCACATCCGAATTTGGATCCAGCTCCGGGAAGCTCTGGGAACTTCTCTGGCAACACAAACCCAGCAGCAGCTTCTGGCCTCCTGAGTTCTCTCTCCTTCAGGACCAGGTTCTCACAGCAGCCCCTCCTCCCTCAAGTGCAGGGAGGGACAGCAGGAAGTGTCCATGCACTGTGCTCCCACCAGGGGTCGGGCACCAGCTGGTGACTCGCAAATGCGGTCTCTTCCACCCTTTTCGGGTAAGGGTGGGGATCCATCCTTATACCCATTTCTGGAGGAGAAAACAGACTCGGAGAGGGTCGAAACTTGACAAGAGGACAGGGGCTGCATCTGTTTTCCTTTCCACTGTGTCTGACAATTAACCCAGTGCCTGGCACACACTAGACACTCAACAGCTATTCCTGGAAGGAGACGAGGGAAGGCGAGAGGGAGAGGGACGAAGGAGGCAGGGTCTCCGAGGCCGTGTGGCAGGAGGAGGGGCTGGGATCTGAGGTCAAGCTGAGGCTTCAAGGTTCACGTTCTCCCATCCTCCCTTCGAGACTTTACTGAGCACCTACTCTGCACCACTGTCTCCCTGGCCTCTCAGGACACTGAGATCCAGTCATTAAAATCCTCTTTTTGGGGCTTCCCTGGTGGCACAGTGGTTGAGAGTCTGCCTGCCGATGCAGGGGACACGGGTTCATGCCCCAGTCTGGGAGAATCCCACATGCCGCGGAGCGGCTGGGCCCGTGAGTCATGGCCGCTGAGCCTGCGCGTCCGGAGCCTGTGCTCCGCAACAGGAGAGGCCACAACAGTGAGAGGTCTGCGTATCGCAAAAAAAAAAAAAAAAAAATCCTCTTGTTGCAGAGCAGGGGCTGAAGTGAGGGCTCAGGGTCAAGGTCTTGCCCTGACCCTGCTCTGCCCTCACCGGCTGTGCTTCACACTTCATGGGAGGCGTTTGTGTGCTCATACAGTAAGCCAAGTGGCGGGGGGGTCCACAGATGGAGTATGAGTCCCTCAGCACCCCTGCCTGAAGCCCAGTTACTGTGTCCACACCCAGGTTGAAGCCTGGGAGCTGCTCGGTGAGGGCAAACAAGAGCTGTCCTGCCTGTACCCATCCTTGGAAGAGCAGCAGGGTGGGGAGGAAATATATTAAGGGCCAGTCACCACCTCTCTGAGCCTCACTTTTCAGAGCTGTAAAATGGGAAGAAAAGTCTCTCACCAAGTGACGCTGGGACGCGAACCAGAGCACGCCTGGGAGGGTGCCTGGCACCCAGCGGCCCTGAGGAAATGTTTCTTCCTTCCTTCTGGGCTGCCGGGGATCCAGAAAATCTGAGATAAGGTTTCCTAATCTGGAGGGCTAGAAATGGTAAGCACGCGGGCTCATGGCTTCCCTCAGACGCTCAGAGGGGCCCGTGGCCCGGAAAAGGCTCAAGAGCCCTGATTTCTTGCAACAAGATCAAAAAGGACCTGGTGGTGGTGAGTTGGCAGCACAGGCCCAGCCACAGCGCAGGGCGAGGGAGGGGGCCCTGGTGCAAGTGGCCATGAGGAACACCTATTCCAGGCACCCCTTCATGGGGTGGCATCCCTAAGCCACGGTGAGTGGGGTGGGGGCAGCGTCGCCGTGTGCCCACAGCCCCTACCTTCTTCCAGAGCAGCAGGGCCGTGGCCAGGATGCCCAGGACAGCCAGGAGGCCGATGAAGCAAAGAAGCAGGAGGTCCTGGGGGCCCTGCGGGGGCTCTCGGTAGCCTGTGTCTGGGTGCAGGGCAGGGAAGCAGAGACGTTAGTTGCCTGGGAGAGACACCCCCCACCCCCCAACCCTACTTACAACTCTCCCCCACCAGGACCCCCAGACCCTGCCTCTGCTGAGGTCCTCCTTCCCACACTCGCCTTGGCTACGTTTCTATGTTTGCTGCGCAGATTCTCGTTAGGAGTAAGGACTACATCCTTTGCTTCTTAGGTGCCCCTGCCTCGGTGCCTTGGGTCCACCGAGAGGTGCTTATGGGACCTGGGTGAGCCATTTCGCCTCCTGGGGCCTCCTCCTTTCTACACGTGAAGTAGTGATCATACGGGCAGGAGTGGTGAGGGTGAAGCGGGTGGGCTTGTACAAGGCCTGGCAGGTGCTGCCGGCACCAGGGGTAGGTGAGAGCACAGCCCAGCCCCTTCCCTTGAGCCATCCAGCCTTTCATCCACCACTTTCTCCTTCCATGCCTCTGTCCACCCCTCTGTCCAGCTGGTTGGCCCAAAACTGCAGAGTGCCAACCACATGCCAGGCTCATGAGCGTCTGTTACTTAACTAGCACATCCTGCTACCGGGCGCCAGCCCTCACATTCAGGATCTCACTCATCCCAGGAAAAGCCTCTGACAGGCAGGATATTGCCATGAAGAGTAGGTCCAAGGCGATATCCTGGCAAGCAGCAGGACTGAGGGCCAAACTCAGGTCCGTGGGATTCTGTAACCCTGGCCCCTACCAGTGGGAGTCGCAGAGGTGCCTCAGAGAATCGCGACTTCAGTGATGGGCTGTTCTTAACCTTTTGGAGTCATTACTCTTTTGAGAACGTGATGAAAATTAGGAATCTATCCCCAGAAAGATATACACGAGCCGTGTCTTTGTTCACAGGTCTCTGCAAACACACGTGCACATGCCTCATTCTGTGCTCACCGAACTAATAGTGCCAAAGGGACACTGAGAAAAGGGCCTGCCAGAGGTAGTCAGACCCACACCCCAGGCCTCTGCCCCTGCTACACAAAGATGGGCGTCTCGGCACACCTGTGTGGCCAGGGGCTCCCCGAGGCTGCTCTGTTCTGTTTTGCCAAAGCTGAACAATGAGGCAAACGTTCCCCACTTCGGCTCCTGTGCCCCAAAGTCTGCCGGCTGAAACCTCCGGGCCCTTCGCCCGGGGAAGAGACGCGGAGGAAGCTCACCTCTGACCAGGATGAAGGTGCCGTTGCCTGTCACCCTGGAGCCCGGCCAGTGGACGGAGCAGTAGTAGGTGCCAGTGGCAGACGCGTCAGGCAGCTTGGGGGTGATCCGACACTCTTTGGTGTGGGTCTGGTTCTCTCTGCCTGGACCAGGTTTGCAGCTGGTCTTCTTCTCAGAGCTCGTCTGGCCCAGGAGGTCCACGTGAAAGTAGCTGACTGTGAAGTCCTTGAAGGTGGGGGTGTATGGGTAGGTAATCCTGCAGCCGAAGGACACGGCCTTGTTGGCCAGAGATACCACAATGGGGAGGCCGGTGTGGGTCACTGACTGCCCTCCTGCAGGGGAAAGAAAAGGAGAGAGTGGTAGCTTCGATCCCCTGCTTCCCCCTGAGGACCGTGCCTCACACTCACACGTCCCACGCCCTCAGTGTGTGCAGGTGGTGTCCAAGTGCTTTGCACGTGATGACTCTATACTTCCCAACACACCCAAGGCACAAGTGTGTAAGGGCTCCATTTTACAGAGAGGGAGAGTCTGGGGTCAGGGAGGTCAAGCCTCTAGCTTTCAGTTTCTCTGCAGGTATGGAGCGGAGCTGCCACCCCCCCGACCCCGGGCTGGATGACCCCAGACCCCACGCTTCCAACCACTCTCCCTCCCAAAGGTCAAGAAGCCACGTTGGATAAAATCACAGGTCTGAGACAACCCGAAGCTGGTGAAGGATGAGAAGTAAAGAGGAAAGAGGCAGGAAACAAAATAATGAAACGCTTCCTGGCAGGAAGAAGCACTTCCTGGCATAGACAGACGCACAGAGGGAGGCAGGTCTGCCCAGGGCTCTCCCCAGCCTGAGGGGGAGGCATGCCAGGGAACAATCAGGAGAGACACACCTTTCCCTGAATCTGAGCTTGGAGAATTTGTCAAGTTTTTATAGACTATAACAAGCAATGCCCCAGAAGCAGTTTTCCAACAACGCAGAGGTGCTCCATATGCAGCCATTTGGCCGTGAGCATGACGAAGGCAGTTCTCCGGGAGCTGTCTTCTCCCCCACCCCCGTGTACCACCCCCCTCTCATCAGAGGCACCTAGGAAAACAATTTGAAAGCCCCCAAAGCAGCAGCCTGCCCGGCTGGGCGGCCCGCCCTCCCGCAGGCTCTGAGGCGCTGCTCAGATCCTGTGCAGGGTCAGCAGCTACCACCTCTCCCCCCGCCCGGACTTCGGCTGCACAAGCCACGCCCAGCTTCAATATGCCCTGTCCCCCAGCGCCTTCCCTCTCCTGCAGATGAACGACAGACAGTTCTAGACTGAGGTCGGCATCGAGCAGCCTAGAACATGCTGGCCAGGTTGCTAATCGGGAGAAGATGCGTTGGAGCCACTCGCGGGGAGCAGCAGAGTTTAGGTGGCTGGGGAAGTGAGGCGTGGGCCTCCCACCTGCGGTCGGTGTGGCTCTGGCGAGAGGCCAGGCCGGTTTCTTTGGTTTCTTCTTGGGTCCTTTCAGCTCAGCCCTGGGCCGGATCCTCAAGGGAGGTGAGGCCAGGCCCCCTGGGAGACTCGGGGACAGGGGCGGAGAGGGTCCTCCACACCCGCTAATCCCTCCAAGCTCGGGCCAAACAGATATTTTGAGCTTCCTGGGGAGCAACTAAAGAGACACCCCCTCCCCCGAAGAACTCAAGCCAGTTCCAGGGAATCGACTGGCGTGTCTGGACGTCACAGTGGGTTGACTTTGTCCTGTGTGATGCTCACGCTTGGAGACGCCACTGAGCCAGCCCCAGGGGCGCCCCTCCGGTGAGCGGCGGGGAGAGGACTGCACACCGCACCGTGGATCTCTGGGCTGCTAGTGGCTGCTGTTTAGCTAGAATGATATATTCATTTTGTCATAAAACAAGGAGCCTTGATTCAGGCCTGAGGTTGGAGGTGTGGCAGGGGCAGGGTAGGGGTGCAGAGCCGGTGGGAGGGGGTTTGTGCATGACCCCCCCCCCAGGGTCCCAGGTGGGCCGAGAGGACAGGAGGCGAGACGAGCAGTGCTCTCCAGCCCATGCTGTGTCCTTCCTGCGCGCAGGCCACCGCCCCCCCTCTGCAGCCACCTCTGCCATCCTCTCTGCCTGGGACCGCCACCTCCTCACCTGGCCAACGCCTAGTGAGTCCCCCAAACTCGGCTCAGGAACCACTTGCCAACTCTTACGTACCTCCTCTCATCTGGTTCTCATGGTGACCCTGCGAGGCAGCCAGCCAAGCGCCAGCAACAGGCTGGTGCTTCCTCATGAGGGTCGGCAGGTTGGAACCAAAACCACCGGGAAAGTGGCTACACCGAGGCCTCTCCGCCTCCCCCAGGGCCGCTTGCTCCTCCTCTCCCGTATCTAAGAGGCCCCTCCAGGCCAGGGGAGGCTGGACGTGCTGTCAGCACGGCGAGGCCACCTTCCTGTTTGTCCTGGCAGGAAGACGTTCATCCAACTGTCTTAAAAAATTATCCCCATTTGAGGTATCTTTCTAGAAAATGAAGGAATCTGCTAGTGCAATTAAGCCAATCTTTTACATTTCTGGGGAAATCTATAAAAATAGATGATCATTGTTCTGTATTCTTCTGGGATTTGTTATTTTAAGGTCAGAGGGACAGGACTGTGGAAGTGTATGGTCTTGGCTCAGGTCTGCCACAGAGAGAACCTCAGACCTCAGGTGAAACTGCTCTCTCCAAAAAGTGAAGGGATGAGGCCATCTCTGTGGACCAGTAAGGTCTGTCAGTCAGGAGACAGCAGGCCAAAAACAAGGAGGAGGCCGGGAGGCCTGCTCTTGCAACAAAGGCAATTGGGTTCTGACCTGATGATGTAGCTAACTGCTTCCAGGGCCCCTTCTTTCTACTGGGTGTCAGCACCCCAGAGCCTGGACCATGGCAGCCCAGCTCCCACCTCCTCTCCTGGACCTGTGCCTCCAAGAAGCCCCTCTGGGGTCCAGGCTGCTCCAAGTCAGCTGCCACCTAGGAGCACCCACCAGTGAAGGCTCCGTGCTACAGACAGGTTCAGAGTAATTTCTGAGTCCACAGATGCTTTTCAGCCACCAGTTGTTTGCAGCTCCAACAAACATTTAAGAGTATCAGTTAGATCACAGGCCCTGTTTGAGGTCCAGAGGGGCTCCCTGCCCTGGCAATGTCCCCAGTCTAACAGGGACGGGAGGGAGCCTGGAGTGGGAAGCCTGGTGGGGAGGGAACCACTAACTGTGACTAGGGAGGAGGCGAAGGGGTGGTGATGCCCTGGGGGTCTGGAAGCAGGAACACACACGTACAGTGAGGCCAGAACTGGCCCAAGGACAGAGGGGAAAGAAAACTTATAGAAAACGTATTCTGGCTCCGTGTGACATAGACCCTATGTCAACTAAACACTGTGACAGGACTTCCCTGGTGGCGCAGGGGTTAAGAATCCTCCTGCCAGGACTTCCCTGGTGGCGCAGGGGCTAAGAGTCCTCCTGCCAGGACTTCCCTGGTGGCACAGTGGTTAAGAATCTGCCTGCCAATGCAGGGGACACAGGTTTGAGCCCTGGTCCAGGAAGATCCCACATGCTGCGGAGCAGCTAAGCCTGTGGGCCACAACTACTGAGCCCGCGTGCCACAACTACTGAAGCCCACGTGCCTAGAGTCCGTGCTCCGCAACAAGAGAAGCCACCGTAATGAGAAGCCTGTGCACCACAATGAAGAGCAGCCCCCGCTCACCACGACTAGAGAAAGCCCAAGCGCAGCAACGAAGACCCAACACAGCCATAAATAAATAAATAAATAAATTTATTTATTAAAAAAAAAAAAAGAATCCTCCTGCCAATGTAGAAGACACGGGTTCGAGCCCTGGTCCGGGAAGATCCCACATGCCGCCCGTGAGCCACAACTACTGAGCCCACGTGCTGCAACTACTGAGACCCGTGCACCTAGAGCCTGTGCTCCGCAACGAGAGAAGTCACCACAATGAGAAGCCTGGACAACGCAACGAAGAGGAGCCCCCTGCTCGCCGCAACTAGAGAAAGCCCGCGCGCATCAACGAAGACCCAATGCAGCAATAAGTAAGTAAGTAAATAAATAAATAAAATAAAAATAAACACCGTGACAATCCTATGAGGCAACGATTGCAACCCCATTTTGCAGAAGAAAAGAAAACAGAAGGTCTTAGAGGTCCAAAGCCACAGAGTTCCTAAATGGTAGAGTTGGGATTTGAACCCAAGTTTGTCTGACTGTGCTTAAGGAAGAAAAGCCAGCACTCAGGCCAGGCAGCGAAGTCAGACCCAGCCAAGTGTGACCGGTGCCAGACTGTGAGCGTTCGCAGTGGCACCAAGCACAGGAGACATCAGATGCTAAGAGAGGGCTTTGTCAGACCCCTGGTAGGAGGCATACTTTTTCACAGTTGGAGGCTGACAGGTGGCTGCACGGCTGCAAGATCACATGGAAATCACGGGCCAGACAGTGTGGGTGAAGAGAGGGCTTGGACAGGGCTGCTGGGGCACCCAACCTGCCCTGTGGGGAACTGCTTCTCACCCTAGATGCAGAGGGGCTTCCTTGGGATGCTCACAGAGCTTAAGGTGTGCCCCCTGAGTGCCACAGGGATGGCACACTGGCTGGCGCCTGTCTCAAGTCCTGTATCAGCTGCATCACGCTTTGGCCCTAGTTCAGCAAAGGGAGTGTGTCTCCCGGGGGACAAGGTGGGCCAGGGCTGAGTGGGCCAGCCTGGGGATTCTCTTAGATTCATGGGCTGTCAAGAGGGGCAAACGGCCCAGGGAGGAGGACTGGGGCGGACCTTGGATTCCTGAGGCTGTAGCAGGAGGGAGAACCACAGGAGCCTGGTTGGGGGCCCCTGAGTGGCCACGAAAGTGCCCAAGAGAGTCCACCCCACACGCTGCACCCAGAGACAGGCCCCGTGTCCCCAATACCTGATGGGCAGGGTTTCTCGCTCCTTCCCGCTCCACCCGGTTGACACGTGGGGATGCTCGAAGAGGGGATCTGAGCAGAGAAGGAGGGAAGAGGGCCCTCACCCCTTACTCTCACCCCATGGCACCAGGAATGAGTTCGGCATCAGTCAGTTCTGAATCTTGGCTGTGACTCGGGTTTGGAGACTTGAAGAACTCATCTGCGACGGTAAATGACTGCAGGGCTCTGCCGTGCTCAGGATGGCTGCAGCAGCTCCAGGCACGGAGGAACCTCCGCACACCAAGAGATCTGGGCTGCAGCAGCATCACAAAGCTGCTTTTGGATAATTCTGTGCATCCCAGTGCAGCCTATAGGCCCAGACAGGCACTGGGAGGAAAGCACTTCAAGGAGCCTGGCGTGTTTTCTGCAGGAGGGACGGATTGGTGGCACAAGGGAGAAGGGGCTG